CTGAAGAGCTCTCTCGAAATTTCATGGATCCAATAAATGCTGCTGTTTTTGCTATCTACAAATTGAGGATAATATACAAGACAGGAATTAAAAGTTGAGTCCTTCGGAGTCTACCGCCAAACCAGGTGGGGGTTCTTAACCCAAAGTACACATCGTGTTACGTTCCATCATCTTGTCAGTCTTGAAAAGGTTGCATCTACCCGGGGTACTTTAAAAAAATTGCTTCCAAAAAAAACCGTGGTCAGCGAAATAAACTTACAAGCAGCACATCGACGTCAAAGAGAGCGCCCACCGGTCTGTGATCACTGATTTTCAACTCTGCGCGACAGTAGGCCAGTAACGAGTTGCTGACTTCATCTGCAATTCCTAACTCAGACTGCGCGGAAGGCAAGGAGCCGTTGGGAGAGTCCGAGCGACCGCCGAAGTTAAGTTTCGCGCAACGCCAGAAGATGCGGTCAGTCCAGGAGGGTACGCGGGGCTTCTCTAGGGATGAGTCGTATTCATCCTGAAGTATGGCGTACTTATAAGTGGGCGGAAATAACAAAAATCCCTCAGAGTAGCCCTCAAAGAGACCGGCAATGCGTCGTTGCTCGCTCAACTGATCCAATCGATGTAGGTCGAGTAGGCGGTTTTGCTGAACCAGTGACTTCACTTTATCAATAAACGACGGGTCCTTAGACGCATCCTTAGACAGACCGATGCGGTAGTTCATGTCACCAAACCAGAAGGTGTGATTGTGGCTAGCCACCGTGCGTTTTCCGGTCAGGAAAGAACGGCTAGAAATATCACGGAACTCGGAGGTGCGTTCTTGAACGGCGGACTGACCCGCGGTGAAGTGGCAGCAACAGAAGCAGATGGAAGTGGCGCCCAACTGAGAAGTCAACAGATAACCAGAATGCAATTAGACTGTGGAAATAAAGAAGTCACAAAATTGAAACATTGTTTTCCCGGAAGAAATTTGAACAGGGTGAAGATCCCAAATTGAGCAAAATGTATTGACGTCTTACAATTTCGTGACCTCTAATTCATCTGCCAACGGTCATTGCCTGTTAATATAGTAAAT